GCAATCAACAAAGGTCCCTCAGACTCCACTGCACACTAGTCGCGTCCTGAAGGAAGACAAAGAGCGGTGGGAGGATGTCAAGGTGAGATGGGCTGGGGAGGCAGCTCCCTGGGAGTGCCCAGAGCTGGCAGGGAAAGGGTGGCTTCTGCATTCCCTCACCCCTGGGACATCTTTGTTAGAAAAAGAGTAGACGCTGATCTGCTTCCTTAACCAGATTGTAGGCAGAGGTTCTGTGTGAGGTGTGAATTCCTCCATGGCTGATTCTGGAAGGCTCCTGGCTCCCTGGTTCTCTAGGAAGGACCGTTAGGGGTCGTCTCTCACAATCTCATTTTTGCATATGGCAAACTGAGGCCCAGAGAAGGGGAGTGAGTTGTTCAAAGTCACACAGCTAATGACAGGCTGAGACAGACCAGACCCAGGTCTTCTGATGCCTAGTGCAGTGCTCTCTCTGCTTTACCTCGTGGCCGTTTCCTGCCGAGTCTCATCTCGGGAGAGGCTTTGAGGAGCACTGCGGCAGGCAACGTGGTGGTCAGGCCCTCGGCTGGCCCATCTTAGGGGTGAGGCCACTGTCAGCAGCTGCCTGCCCCACTAACCCCTCTATACTCTTCTCTCTCTGCTCCTGATGCCTCACCTTGCCACTGCTTTGTCGTTTGTCTCTCACGCCTCTTTTCTTGTCTCTCCTCCTTGTTCTTTGCCTCTCCACCCCCCACACCCAGGAGGAGATGACCAGTGCCTTGGCCACAATGCGTGTGGACTACGAGCAAATCAAGATAAAAAAAATTGAAGACGCATCCAACCCTCTGCTTCTGAAGAGGCGGAAGAAGGCTCGGGCCCTGGAGGCTGCAGCCCTAGCCCACTGAGCTGTCAAGCCCCTCTTGGAGGGAAAAGCAATAACTCTCGCCATGAATCTATTTTTGAAAAGAAGAGACACAGAACTGTTCACTTGTACCTCCCTTCCTCCTTTGCTGCATGGAGTCCAGCATCTTGTCGGGGCCTGAAATCTGACCCTTTGGCCATTACCTGCCGTGGTTCTGGCCAACCGTGCAGGGAGGCTGCGGGGGTGAGGAGAGGAGGGAGCAAGATGCTCTTGAACCTGTGCTCATTTTGCAGTTTTATCAGTAATTTGACGTAGAATTTTTATGAAATCTCTTTTATTGTCTTTTCCTTACTCTTTTTCCTTTCTCCAAAACCCCGTCCCTGGATACCTACTGCAAGGGGTTGGGGTTTGTGTAAGTTTATTTGTGGAAACTGTTAGAGGGCATGTCCCTGGATTGTCCCTTCTGCCCTCTGTTTCCCCACCACAGCCGGAGGGCTCCCTGGCTCCACCTGCAGACCTCAGACCTCACCAGTGTGCCGGCAGATAGGATTGCGTGTGTATGTGTGTGCACGTGTGCCTGGGACCTCCACCTGAGAGGCAGGCAGGGATGCAGAAAGGACCCTGCTTTGACTCAAGAACCTCCTCTCTCTCTGGGCCTGCCCTGCCCCTGTTGGGCCCATTGAAGTGCCTGGGAAGCCTCTAGGTTCAGGTCCAGGCCTTGTATGTATGGCCTCTCAGCAGGGTTCCGGGCTGCAGATGAGCGATCAGGAAGACTGGACCGTGGGGCTCCCGCCACCCCATTTAGTGCTGGTCCTGGGTCCTTGGAGGCACTGATGTACCAGATAACCTCTTCTTCCCCTTTCTACCATTAAAGTTTTAGCCATTTCTCAATGGGCTGCCTCTCAGTTCACTTGGGTGAGCTAGGCACTGTATGATGACAAGATCTAGGTTCACCTATCTCTGCTGGGTTCTCAGGGCCTGGTCCAGCTTCAGCTTGTGATCAGAGGTAGAACCATATATTTGTGGATCCAGCTTCAATTTCCATTGTATGGCCTAGTGGGTTGGGGGAGTCTTCTCACCAAAGATGTCCTGACTCTGCCCCCTTTCCCAGTAGCTACTTCTTTCCTCCTTCTTGCCCCTCAAAAAAAAAAAAAAGCCTCTGGTGCCTGTGACCAGGGTGGTGAGGGGACATTAATGACGAGCAGCACAGGGAAAGGCCCCTGTGCCAGGGTCCCCTTCCCTCTGGGAGAATGGGCAGCAGCAACCCTGCAGTTTGCATCTCCCCAGGGGCGGCTTGGTGCAGCAGCGTCTCTCTCTTTCTCATCTGATGGCGTGTCCTGCACTCAGAGTATTGTAAACTGTTGTTGTTTTGTATGATCGAAATTGTCTTACTAAACAGATTTCATAGTTGAAAGTTTCTCTCTTCATTCCTGGGGCTCAGCCCCCAACCCTCCACCTCTCCTTTTCCCCTACATGAAGAAGGGTTTTGGGTGTTGGGGAGGGCAGAGCCTGGGGTGTCCTGGGAAGTAATGAAGAGCCTCCTTAGTGAAGACTAGGGGGTAGGGTAGAGGGTGATGCTCCCTTTCAGAGCGGGACTGGGGAGGCCACCTGCTTTTGCTGAATACTGAATCAGCCAGGCTGCTCTCGAGCCTGTGATGCTTTGACCTATGGCTACAGGCAGATGCTGGTACCCTCAGTCTTTGGGAGAGGGGGGTGGGTGTTGGCCTTTGGGTTGGGATGGGAGGGGATCCACCACTGTAATTGGATCCAAATCTTGGCAGAGATTCTTGGGGAAGCAGGTTGGTGTAGTAACTGAAAGTTCCAAGAGGGGGCGGGAGGAGGTCAGGCAGAGAACACCAAGTACACCTCAAAACTGGAAGAGACTTCAATGACCTGTTTGCTTCACTTTATGGATGAGAAGACTTTGAGGACAGGAATGATGGGTTTGAGATCACACACTGAGTTGACTTGTTGTAGAAACAGGCCAACTGAACCCTGTTCTCCCTCTGTGTCCTCACATACATTTTCTCCCATGATCCTCGGTGCTCTGAGGGGAGCCAAGCAAGGCTCAGGGCAGTTATTCCTATTTTATGAATGAAGAGAAAAGACTCAAAGAAGAGGAATATGCTGGGGGTCACACAGTTAATTATTTGGGCGAAAACTTAGGTCTAGGATCTGAAGGCCTGGAATGCTTTCTGTCCGCTCTCCCTGTTTCCCCAGTAATCAAAGGTCCTGTCTCCATTGCACAGAGCTGTTATGAGCAAGCAGGCAGCACTACTGGCCCCATAAACTCTGTTTAGGTTGGTTCCTAGCTTGAAACTTGTATTTATTACTTTAGAAACCACTGTTCAAAATTAGTTAGCTTGAAGTTTTGTTTTCAGAGAAGTCCTGTTGTTTGAGCATGTGGACATGCCAGAAGAGATGTGAACCTGTGAGAAGGAGATGGTATGGAGAGGGACCAAAGTTCTGCCGTCTCTGGAGGTGATAATCAGTTTTACTAGTACTGCTCCAGAAAATGTACAGACTTAAAACAACACACACTTCTTAGGTTTCAGAGGTTCCACAGAGAACCTGGGCTAATGTCAAGGTGTCGGCAGGGCTGCTTCCTTTCTGGAGGCCCTAGGGAGAATCTTCCAGTTCCTAGAGACTGCCTGCATCCCTTCCTCCATATCAAATTGCTCTGACTCTTCTGGTTTTAGTGCCAGTCTTTGCTCACCCTGACAGAAAGGATTCCCCATTTTTAAGGGTCCACCTGGATAGTCCAGGGTACTGACCCCAAGCTGTGGTCCATACCCTCATCACATTCGGAGCACCCCTTATGCCACAGGGGTGGGGAGCTCAAGCAGCCAGGGTTTGTTTACATTTACCAGTGGGTGGGGCAGCCACTTTCCCCAGCCTCACTTCCACCAACTTCACCCTCCTGCCTCTTAACAACTGAGTTTCCTTCACACCCTGAGCAGGCAAGACCTACCCACTCGTCATTCACGGCCTCCGCATTTCCTGTCTCCAACCCAGTCAAAAGGAAAGCCCCAATTTACTGTTACTGTTTACCAGCTCCAAGACACAGGGACTCAGCCTTACCCCCTTGGCACCCTTCAGGTCTGTCCTCTGACGGATGGAACTCTGATTGTGACTAAGGCCACCTGGCATTTTGCCAAGCATGTAGCTCCATCATCTCATTGAATTAAAACAGGTATGTTACTCTGATTTCATAGAAAAAGTAACTAAACTTTATTAGTGAATGGAAAACCACTCTAACCCTCCCCAAGTATTTTTAAAGGAGTTCTGTAGGATAAACACTAGACTGTTAACCACAGGGTCAGCAGTTCAAACCACTAGCTACTCTTTGGAAACCCTACACAGGGTCACCGAGTTGGAATTGACTCAATGGCACACAACAACACACGAGTAGTCCCTGGGTGGTAAAACAGATAATGTGTTTGGCTACTAACCAAAAGGATGGAGGTTTGGGTTCAATCAGAGGGGCCTTGAAAGAAAGGTCTGGTGATCTTCCAGGAAAACAAAACAAAACACCACTCATTGAAAACCCTGTGGAGCATAGTTCTACTCTGACACACAAGGTTGACTGATGGTTACCTCCACCCAGCCCTCTGAGAATGAACTGAGTCCATACCAATACTGAATGGTCTGAGGCACTGGGTGGGGGTACAAGATGGTCACTCCCAAAACTGCAGGTTTCCTTTCAAGCAGGGTATGTGATTTGACTTCCTGGACCCATGTTTTGATTCAGCTTTTTCTTTCTTAGTAGTGTTGAGAGATTTATCTTCTAGCTCACTAGTTCTGGCTTCTATCTCTTCAATTCTACTCCTTTGCCCTGTCAGTGTATTGTCCATTTCTGATATTCTATTATTAATCATTTGGACCTCTTTCTGTAGGTTTTGAATTGTCTCCAATGCTGTTTTTATCTTATTTGATTGTTCCTGTAGCACTTTCCTGACTTCTTCCTTATTTTTCTTAACTCCATTATATAGTGTTTTGATACAATTTATAATCATTTTTCTGAATTCCTTCTCAGGCATTTCCAAAGCCTGCCCATCTTCCAGTATGGAGTGTAGGTCTACTTCCAGCTCATTTGCCTCAATCACTTTATCTCGTTTCTGGACATGTGCAGATATGGTCATCTGCTTCTGTTTTTATGGGCATATTCAGGAGTTATCTGTGTCCTTAATACTTAGATGGGTGTGTATTTTGGTATTTTTTTTATGCTTTCTGATTGCCTCCAGGTAGATGTGATCAGGAAATGGGCTTCCCTTTTCACTCTTCTTCTTGAGAAATTTCAAGATGCCACTGTTGGTCGTTTTGACGTAATTTAGGATTTAATTTTCGGCCTATTTCCTTTTTTGTCTGCCTGTCCCGCTCCACAATCCCCGTTGAGGTCTTTTTTCTAGTTATAAAGAGTTCAGGGCCGTCTGTGGCCATTTGGTTTTAAGTGAGAACTGTCTCTTTAAATTTCGAGGAGATCTGTGCACATGCGTAGTAGAACCTTCCGAGCGTGGTGCTGGGGTGTCAGCTAGCTCAAGCACCGCTATCGTCTTCAGAATGGAGCTGCGCAGACAGCAAGGGACCAATGAACAGATACCAAAAGAAAAGAATGTCCACACTTTTATATCTGCGGTTTTGTCAGGCGTCCGTGGCTGCTCTGATCCTTCCTCTGCTTGGTCTCACCCAAGATGGCGGCTCCTGGAGCAGCTGAGCATCTTTAATTAGAAAGCAATGGATTTCTTGCTTCTGCTACAAATTCCCCTAACTGTAAGTCTTCCAACCTTCGAAATATTCCTTTATATGTGGTTTAGAGTTCTGGGACCATCCCCTGAGCCTGCTTGGTCGGGTATTCTGTGTTGTTCATGGCAGAGGTCCTATCTGCACGTCCACCCAATCCGCCATCTTGTTTGTTCTCCTCAGCTTTTCTTTCTTGATGGGTAATGCCCAGAGTGAAGTACTTTGGGAGTGGGGAAGAGGCATAGAAAGAAGAGGAAGAGAGAGACCTCACGGTTCTCATACTTTGGAGGAGTTGATAGACAA